GGGGGGGGGGGGGGGGGGGGAGGACTTGGAGGGATTTCACAGCAACCTGTCTTACGTTGCACTGTTTTTTTTACACCCCTGGTCCTGGGGTTGAACTCAGGACCTTGCGCTTGCCAGGCCAGCATGGTGCCACTGAGCTGCACTGCAGGCACTCATCCTGTTGTTGATCGTGCCGTCCTTGCAGCTCCTGCTCCTGCCCCAACGCCTCCTGTGGCCCAAGCAGGAACAAGCAGGGGTTGGAGCCCAGCTATCACCCGGCACGGGGCTGCCCCACAGGAAGCAGAACACTGGGCAGTGAGGTGGGAGAGGCCGCCCGCCCCGGCACTTGGTACCCTGCCGGGCTCTGAGCACAGCTGAGATCATGGAAGTGCCAGGGAAGGAGGGCACGGCCTGCGGCCCACAGGGCCTGGTGTAGGAGGCTGGGCAGTGACCACACAGCATGGGACTGCAGCTTGGGCTGTGGGCTCCTGGCTCAGTGCCCACCTCTGCTGGGACATGCAGGTGGGCCCAGGGAGTGCCAAGGTGGGACACAGGGCGGGTTTCCCAGGAGGTGGTCCTGGCCACACACTCCCTCAGCTGTACATGGCACAGGGGGCTCCCATCCTGATGCCTTCTGCGTGCTGTGCCTCACACACCTGGCACGACTCAAGGGTCCTTGTCATGTACCCGTGGGAGACTTAGATCAGAGAGGTTAAGCACCCAGCCCAAGGTGTGCAGTGGGCAGGTGGGGTTTGAACAGCTGGGTGGTGCCTGCCCACCCTGGCTCAGTTTCTCCTCTGCAGTTCCTCCCCTGCTGGCTGGCCTGAGGCTGGCACATGCTACTCTAGAGTGAGTGTGCCCTGTACCCCCAACCCGCACCTTGAGATCCATAGAGAAATCCTGGCCTTTGCCTATTTCCTGTGTGCAGTGTCCCCTCAGAGCCCCGGGGTGGGGCAGCGGGCTGGGGTCTGGCTGCCATCAGCCTCAGCTTCCCGATGGGACTCATGGGGGTGGTGAGAGTGCTGCTCTCCCCCTGGGACTCCCCCAGTGTGGCCTAGGCCTTGATGGCTGTGTCTGGGGTTGTCCCCGTTTTCCATGCTGGCTGAACACCAGGAAGGGCCGGAGAGCTCACACAAGTGGCCTGAGGTCACACAGCCTGCACGCGGCTCCTCGGCCCAGACACAAGGAGGGTCCTGGTGCCCTGGCCTCAGTTTCCCCAAGCTCCTCTGCCCCTTCTGGCTATGAGCCTCCTCCTCTCAAGCAGAGTCCGGCAGCCCCCGGCCCGCCGAGCAGCGGTGGTCTCTGTGGTTGGTGGGGACGCCCACTGCCACCACAGCCAGTTAATCTAATTGCCCATCACCCGCCCCGCCCCACCCTGTGGCTCCCACAGGCCAGCTGGGGAGCGGCTTCTCCCTATCTCGGGATCGAGCTGTTTGCCTTTGATAAAAGTCACAGAAAAGGAAAGAAAAAGGCGGAGGGAGCCAGGCTGGGGTTCTAGAAGACTCTGTGGGTGGGGTGCAGGCAGGGAGGAGGCGGGCACCGCATGGGCCCTGGGCACGTCCGCTCTCCCTGACTCTCGGACAAACATGGAGTGGCAAGCGGCTTCCCAGGGACACCGCAGATGGGGATGTGGGGGTGTGGGTGGGCGGAGATCCCTCCATCAAGCCACACCCGAAGGCAGGCCAGGATTCAGAAAGGGCCTGTGCCTGCTCCTGCTCCAGCCCTGTGCCACCTTTTACCAGGCCCTGGGGAAAGCAGCAAGGCCTGGGGAGGAGGAGTCCAGCCCTCGGTCCCCATTGTAGGACCCCAAGTGCGGCCAGCACCTCCAGTGTAGCGAGTGTCACAGGGCAGCCAGGGGCCCCCCAGCTGAGAAGGGGCAGAAAGTGGCTCTAAGAGGACAACAGGACCCAGCCCAGGAGCAACAGGAACAGGCAGGGAGGCCATGACCACCACCACGCCAGACCTATTTCCACTGTGGGCCAATGGTGTGTACAGAACTGGGGACCAGGCCACATGTGGTGGTTCACACCTGTAACCCCAGTATTCTGGAAGGCTGAGGCAGGAGGACTGCAAGTTCCAGCCCACCTTGGTCAAAGCTGGTGATGTGGCTCAACGCAAAGGCTCTGGGTTCAAATCACTAGTACTGAAAAGAAAAAAGTAAATAAAACAAAAAATACAAAATGGAGCCGGGCGTGATGGCGCACGCCTGTAATCCCAGCACTTGGGAGGCTGAGGTATAATCCCAGCACTCGGGAGCCTGAGGCAGGAGGATCACTCTGAGTTCGAGACCAGCCTGGGCTACATAGTGAGTTCCAGGTTAGGCTCAACTACATAGTGAGAACCTGTCTCAAAA